CCATGGACATGGTGAGAGGCTCCTATATGCATATATATATATATATATATATATATATATATATATATATATATATAAAGGTTCTTTTTGGAGAGTATAGGCTTCAGCTTAGACTGCCGTCTCAGCTGAAAAAAACAGGATTTGACCATCATGTTTACGTGACTGTTGAGTTTTAAGGACGGGTCCATTATCACCCCCAGATTAGTGACCTTTTGTTTCTCTAGCGGGGCTAGAGAGAAAAGGTCAATGTCATGGTTCATGAGTGAGCCACTGGGATGGAACAGCATGACTTCAGACTTCTTCTCATTGAAGCTTAAGAAGTTTAAAGCCATCCAGTCCCAGATGTCAGCCAGGCAGTCAAGAAGAGGCTGAATAGAGCGTATGCCTCTGTGCCTCAGGGGGAAGTAAATTTGGCAATCATCGGCGTAGAAATGAAAGGGTATGTTGTGTTTGCGAAGATAGCACCTAGTGGCAGCAGGTATAAAGAAAAGAGAAGGGGACCGAGGATGGACCCCTGCGGTACCCCCCACTGGAGCGCTGTCGATGCCGAACTAAAATCTTTGATATTGACACAGAAGGTTCTGTCAGAGAGGTAGGACCCAAACCATTTAAGGGCTGACCCTGTGATGCCCACCCACTGCTCCAGTCTAGAAATGAGGATCTTGTGGTCGATGGTGTCAAAAGCGGATGTCAGGTCCAATAGGACAAGCAGCACAGAATCATCTGCGTCTGTGGATATGAAAATGTCATTAAAAACCTTCAGTAGAGCAGTTTCAGTGCTATGGAGAGATTTGAAGCCAGATTGGAATAACTCTAGGATAGCGTGATCCCCCAAAAACTGTTTCAACTGAGACTCCACAATTTTTTCCAGTAGTTTAGAGGTGAATGGGAGTCTGGAGACAGGCCGGAAGTTGGACATGACTGAGGGGTCAAGGTTAGGTTTTTTCAGGAGGGGCTGGACAGCAGCATGTTTAAAAGTTTTTGGCATCACACCTGAGGATAAACTGCTATTCAGAATAGTGAGGATAAAAGGACCCAGGGTAGGAAAAACTTCCTTTAGTAGTCGAGGGGGGGACCACATCAAAGGGGGAACCAGATGGCTTCATGCTGCACATGACCTGCTCCAGAGAAGACAGAGAGATGGGCTCAAAGTGGTCAAACACAGCCACACACTGAGATGGGATGGACAGATCATGAGCTGGTGGAGAAATGAGCGCCCGCCACTTTTTCTAAAAAGAAATGGAGGAAGTTTTCACACAGCTCAGTTGAGGCTTCCAGAGGTGAAGGCTCACTGAGGTGTAGAACTGAGTTCAGGGTGGAGAAAAGAACTCGGGGGTTGTGGGAAAATGACAACATTGTAGTCCAATCACTTTTCCACATGAACAAACATGCCCACAAACTTCTGACCAATCACACAAGTCTTTGAACATACTCCTGAAAGAAAAGATTTGGCCCAGGTCTTCTTTTGTAAAGGGGCAGACAAAGCTATTCTGAGAACAAAATTGTGTGATTTTTGTCTCACAATTTCTCAGCTCCAGATAAAATATGCAAGACCCTTAAGCATTCAGTGTGAGAATCTATACCGGTCTGAGTTTCTCTTCTGGGCCCATTGCCTCCTCGACTTGACTTCAGATAGGTGGTAGCTGATGGAGATGGACTTATTTAAGGTTCATGTGTGTATACTTCAACAAAAAACTGAACTGGACAGACAACACCATCACTTTATACAGAAAGGGCCAGAGTTGTATGCACTGGCTGACAACTTTGAGATATTCTGGTGTGCGCAGGGCACTGCTACACACATTTTATAACACTTTGGTGGCCTTCCAGTGTTCAATGCCACTGTGTGCTGGGGAGGGGGCACAACAGACAGAAATGGGATTAACAATGTCCTGAGCTGCCCATTGGAAATGTATTAAAGAGGTGATGGACAGAAAAATGGGGCAGCACGGTGGCGCAACTGGTAGAGCTGCTGCCTCTCAGCGAGCAGGTCCTTGGTTCAAACCCCGGTCCAGGGGCCTTTCTGGGTGGAGTTTGCATGTTCTCTCCGTGCATGCGTGGGTTTTCTCCGGGTACTCCGGTTTCCTCCCACAGACCAAAAACATGCATGTTAGGCTGATTGGTAACTCTAAATTGTCCCTAGGTGTGAGTGAGAGAGTGAATGGTTGTTTGTCTCGTTTGTCTCTATGTGGCCCTGTGATGGACTTGCGACCCGTCCAGGGTGTACCCCGCCCCTCGCACAGTGATTGCTGGACATGGGCACCAGCGACCCCCGTGACCCAAAATGGAATAAGCAGGTAAAGATAATGGATGGATGGATGGATGGACAGAAAGATGCTACAATAAAGCTTTCATCCATCATGGCCAATTCCTCTCCCACCCCCTGTACAGCACTATACAGTTGCTGAGCAGCTCCTTCAGCACAATGCTTTAAAATCCCAGTGCAGGAAAGAGCTCTATCACAGATCATCCCTGCCCACAGCCATCAGACTATATAACTGTGATAGTTGCACAATTGCACTTTGCTCTTCTCGCCAATTTGAGTGCCCTGCAGTTTTAATCATGCCGACAGTATTATAAATAGATGCAGGCAGTGAGTGACATGTTGTTCCACATAGCTGCTGAAAAGTTTAAAATAAATGTAGCTAAATGACTCACAAAAAAATCTTTTTAAATTCCATTTTAAATAGTCAAAATAGTTGGGGGGAAAAACACAGATAAAAACAATAGATAACGAACGAAGCAATTTACATCGGCTTTTAAAAGGACCATATATGTTGGTTTTTTTCTTTTTTTGGGGGGGGGGGGGGGTTGAAAGTTGTTTGTATGTTTGTTTGTTTGTTTTAGGTTGTCCCCTGACCCTTTGGACGGAGAAGTGGTTCTCTGCAGACCAAAAGTGGGCGTTTCTGGCGAATAGGCGTTTATGGGCGGCGAACACTGATTGGCTAACAGTATTTAATAGGCGTTTGTCGGCGGCGAAGACTGATTGGCTATGGGTAACCCTCAAAGTCACGAGTCATTGATGAGGTAACGTTTCTTTGCGATATTTGACAAAGAAATATGGTTTATTGTACTTATAAAGTATGTTATGTTTTCACTTATGCATTTTATTGAAGTACGTTTATTGTAGGTCACGATAGTTTCGACCGTTCTCGTTGTTGTCGTAACGCACTGAGGTAAAGTGAGCCTCCACTCGGCTCCTTTTCAAAATAAAAGCTGAAAATAAAAGTTCTTAATACTTGAAAAATAAATATTTAAAAGCTGTGTATAACTGAAAAATATGAAAAAAAAATAAAAGTTGTTATTAGCTGAAAAATAAATAAATAAAAGCTGTTAATTATATCTATGTCTTTCTGCCATGTCAGGGACCACTCTCACTTCAGACTGACTCTAGAAGACCCCAAGATGTTGCTCAGAAACTTTGACCAACATCTGATGTTGACTTTCATTACTCAATAATGAGTAATAACTTATTCAATAAAAAGTCTGTAATTTGTCAATAATAGTCAATAATTCATTCAAGAATAGATTATGGGTGTTTGGTATGGCTCAGTGGCTAAAATGGGTTGGATGTTAGAGAAATTACTTAATTTTCAATTACCTGAATGCACAAATTCCTTCATTTATAGTTAAACTTTAGGAAATCAACTTTTTTTTTCTTGTGAAAAAAATATCAAAATTAACTTTAAAATCCAATCCAGGATTAAGTAACAACTAGCAACACCCTAACTGTACTATGTTCTGTGTTTCCAACAGATGCTACGATGACTTCTAAAAATGGATGTCCCAATAAACACAATAAAAAAAAATTCAATGATGCATCAAATGTTGTCTGAGTATGTTTTAAGGTAATAACAAATGTGAAATCTGGAAAACAAAGAGAATTCCTGAATCTGTCTTGTGTGCTTTGATGTGTACATAAGTTTATTGGAGGTCCTGAAACAACTTTTCTGAGAACACAAAGATTTTTATTTTACCTTTGGCCAAGATGTCAGTTTGAAATCAGGCTGCTTACTGCAAAACCAAGAGGTTTTTTAAGACGGTCTTCATTTGTATTGTTTTGTCGACTAAGCTAAATGTAATTTCTAAAATATGGATAAATCTGATCTCATCATGCAGCATAAGCAACTGGGTATAGGTGTGAGGGCCAAAAGTCTGGTTATGTACTGACACCTAAATGTGCTTGTTTTCTACTGAAACATGGAGTAGGGTTGACCTTTAAAATGTGAGACAGCTGAGGAAGTTAACCAGTAAACAGAATACCTGCTCCAGTTGCAGAAATCTTACAGAAACTGAGAGTCACTCATCTGTAGTGACTGCAAGTTGAACAAGACAATGTGAAGTTAAAGGAAACATCCTTTGTCCCAAGGCCAGTTAAAGTATCATTTATATTTTTCTTTCTTTATAAATCGATTGTAACTTTTTTCAAATTTTTCAACAATCAAAATGGATTTTGTTTTTTAATGTTACGGCTAGGTATTAAAAAAAACTTAACATTTAGCTCTCCCCACTACCCAGTTATGTTGCTCTTATTTTGAAATGTAACCGGAAGTTCTGTGTTAAGAGAGGCGGAAAAGAAGTTATGGAGACGCCGCGGCAGTATACTGGAGCGATGTCGAACCGAGACGCCGCTAATGTCGAACCGGTTAACACCATAGACATAATATACCTGTGGTTAACACCATCTGCCTATAACGCCTTGTTTTTAGACATCATGTGTCTATGGTTACGGCATTTTATCGTTCAGCCTTTTTTTCTATCGTCCAATCAGATGTGGCCGTCCAGACACGCCTATTTTTCCATCGTCCAATCAAATGTGGCCGTCCAGACACGCCTATTTTCCTATCGTCCAATCAGATCCGGCCGGCCAGACACGCCCATTTTCATATAGTCCAATCAGATATCACCGCCCAGATACGCCTACTTTCCTATAGTCCAATCAGATATGATCGCCCAGATACGCCTTCCGAATTTACTTGACTTGTTTGGACGGGCCGCGCCCATCCTGAACTCACCAGGAGTTTCTAAATATTGTATTCAAATAGGCTACTCTAAAAAAGACCATAGATGAGCTTCTCACCATTACCTTTGCTTTGCTTCGAGGTAAAACGTTTGACACGTTTTATTTACTGTTAGATAAAAGAGAAAGACTAAAGGTTGGTGATTTCGCCAGCTGGTAGTTAACCATTGTTAAATGGAGCGTTTAATGTAGCGTTTTTTCAGCAGTCTGACGTTTGTTGACGTTCCCCTCTGCAGAAAAAAAGAACAGCCAGTGTTCAGCCGCACTGCTGAGCTCCAAACAACGCCACAGAAAGCTCTTCCTACCTTCAAACCCAAAGGTAGGACATTTAAATACGCTTTTGTAACTTTTGTGCGCATACAAAGTGGTAAAATGCTGTTTTCAGATTGTTAAAACGTGGACTAGAACGCAACAGTAGAGGTGGTGCGCACGTCTTACGATGCGTTCAATGTTGCTCGGTTTTCATTGAAATTTGACCAAAAATAACTTTTTTGGAGAAAGTAGTAGTTTAAGGTGCTCATGTCAAATGTTTATGCTATTGTTGACACGTGTGAAGTTTGTAAATTTGTCGAGTGTCTGAAAAAACACATACGGGTTTGAAATTCGGGCAAAATTAGAGCAACGTCGCATTTTGTGACTAGCGTCCTGTTTTTTTCCTTAATGATGTTTTTAATGTATACATTTCATAGTTTCGAGCTCAGGCCGTGTCGGACTGATTCACAGAGCTGAAACATGACGCGTCGAGTGGCTATAGTCGGAGGGGGGAGTTCGGGTCTGACCTGCATTAAGTGCTGCCTGGACGAAGGGCTGGAACCCGTCTGCTTTGAAAGCAGCGATGACATCGGGGGTCTTTGGAGGTTTAAGGTGAGTTATTGTTTTTGCACCTTACTGGACTTTATATTTCACTGTTACTGAGCCATCTTGCGGTCACTGTAGGAGAACCCAGAGCCAGACCGGGCCAGCATCTACCACTCTGTCATCATCAACACCTCCAAGGAGATGATGTGCTTCAGCGACTACCCCATCCCTGCACACTTCCCAAACTTCATGCACAACTCCTTCATCATGGACTATTTTCGGATGTACGCTGACCACTTTCATCTCACCAAGCACGTCCGTTTCAATGTGAGGATGCCTTAACTTTTATTCTTTTAGTTCTCACAGATCTTTCGCTTTCGAATGAGAAATAATGCTTAAGTTAATGTTAAGATGAATATTAGGCAATATGCATGCACTTTATGAGGAAAAAAAACTTAATCCAATATTGTTGTTTGTTTTGATCATTCAAGACATGCTGCTGACCTCTTGGTTAGGTCACCCTTTGAAAAGAGATCTTGATCTCAGTAGATAATCTGTTTGAACAAACATTCATGATGATGACGATAAGGCATATTGTTCTCAGCTGACTGTTTCTGTCTGCTTGTGCCCAGACCAAAGTTGTGCAGGTCAAGCAGAGAGCAGACTTTTCCCATTCAGGCCAGTGGGATGTGGAAACCGAGAACAGTGAAGGCAAAAGGGAGAAACACATTTTTGATGCCGTGATGATCTGTATTGGACATCACTGCCAACCACACTTGCCTCTCCATGACTTCCAAGGTACATTGATCTCTCCAGGGTTGGATGGCACAGATTGAGTGGGATTGTGTAATGAGCAACTTTTGATAAGGTGTGACTAAGCTTGTTGTGGAGGCTCTAGTTATAATTTACTGCATCATCAGAAAACTGACTTGAATTGTGTGTGTGTTTTTTGTTGTTTACATTGCTGATTTTTTTTAAAATTTTTAGAACTTGTACTTTGAGTTTAGGTGTTAACAAACCAAAATGTCTTCTTTTCCTCAGGCATTGAGACTTTCAAGGGAAAGTATTTTCATAGTAGAGACTACAAGATTCCTGAGGAGTGGAGGAACAAGAATGTTGTGGTGGTCGGAATAGGCAACTCTGGATTAGACATAGCAGTCGAACTTAGCAGAGTCACCAAACAGGTTTGTTGGTCAAGACATTTTGTTCTATACAATCAAACCACATCTGTCTCTAATAAGTTCCTTTTTATGTCAATCCTAGCACTCCTAGGCAAAATAATATTCTCATCCGTCAAAATAGAAATACCCCAAAAACACATTCCTAATGGTAAAAACTACTGTATGTTTTGTGGTCTTCACAACTGAGATCGTATTGATCTAACAATTAAATGTGTTTTTGAAAATTCAAAATGATACAGAAATGTCTGAAATAGCTATATTTTCTATTTTTTTCTAAATCTAGAAATTTTAAAATGAAAGTTTCTCCTTGTAAGAAATCCATAATTTGCTGTTCTTTAAAAAGAGGAAGAGTATATTTGCGAATGTCTGGAGCTAAAGATCAAATATAAACAGTTGGGAAGTGGTGGAGGGGGTCGTCTTTTGTCTTGGAAAGAATAACATTTGCAATATCAAAAAGATTGATTTTGGATTAAAATAGTGTCCTGTTTCATTGCTAAAATATTTGCCTTTGTAAAGCCTAATTATGAATACAGTAGTCCCTCGTTTATCGCGGGGGATCTGTACCCCAAATCCCAGCGATAAGTGAAAAACTGCGAAGTAGGAATAGTAGTACAAGTAGTAAGTAGTAGTTTAGTACAATATTTCTAAACTCTAAATGCTCTAAAAGAGCACAGAATGCCATGAACTCGGCTCTCTGCCATGGCTGCACTCTGTGCTCTTGGCCACGCCCACTTCTCCTCTGGAGATCGACAGGAGGAAGTTTCTCCTGCAGTGTGGGCTGCACACAGGTGCTAAATAATTTAAAACAATTGATTTTAAATAAAAATTCCTTGCCGATCGTGCAGCTCATCCATCAATCAGCCAATTTTGTCATGTCCATTCTTACTTTGAAAAACGCGATAGAGCGAATCCGTGAAAAACGAACCACAAAGTAGCGAGGGACTACCGTATCGGGATTGAAAATTGTTTCTGTTGTATGATCAGTTGGCTTGCCATACAGATGCCTGATAATTTACTGTGGATTTATTTTTCCTAAAATATTTTAAGGACTATTCATCACTGTCTTAAAGTTAATCAAAATCTATCATAATGCTGCACATTTCAATAAGATAAAGCAGTAGGGAAACAAACCAAACCAACTGCAGTATAAAAAATATATTTTTAAGCTGTAATGCCATATTTTAGCAGACTTTTAATATTTATTTTGAAAGTCCTGAATGACTTCATAACTTAGTCTGTTTTTCTTTTTAAGCTTTTCCTGAGCACACGAAGGGGAGCCTGGATTGTGAACAGAGTTGGAGAAAATGGGATGCCCCTTGATATGCTTTTTAACCGTGTGATGAATTGGCTTCGTAAAGTCCTTCCCTTTGGTTTTTTCTGTTCGTTGGGAGAGAAACGGCTCAACCAAAGATTTGACCATGTTCTGTACAATCTTAAGCCAAAACACAGGTACTTTGTTTTTATAAATTATATTTAAATCAGCACTTTATGTTGTGATATAATCTGACAACTGCCTTTAAAATTTCCTAAGCGAAAAACATTTCAATCAAATATTTTAAATCTGCACAATTTTACACTTTATATTTTTATCCTATGCATGGCTGCAGATGAGATCAGAAATTTTAAATAAGCATGAATGTTGTTCTATTTCATCCCTCCTGACTGCCAGAGGGCGGTGCTGAAAGCACTGAATGTTCCCTTCGCGCATGCGTTGTTCGAGTAATAATACCAACGGAGTCACAGGTGTGACACGGATGACCAATCAGAGGCTATATAGCCCGACGTCATCCGCTGCTCTGCTCCTTTTTTCTTCTCGCGCGCGGTTCAATTCAGGGCTTCAGCCCTTTGGACCTTTTCTGAACTTTTACCGTCGTCGGAAGCCCGACTGCCCGTCTGCGGGAGTAGCGCATTCGCCCTCCTAGGGCTGCGACGGTTTAACCCTGTTCAAAGGTATTTCTGCTGTTTCGTTGGGGACTACGGCGGTTTCCGCCTCTCCCAACTTACAGCGTCTGACTACTATGTGTGTGATTCAACACCGGTGCATAGTGTTTTTCTTATATTTCGCCGTTGGTTAGCAGTAGCGTTCGCTCCGCTCACGCTTGTTGGGAGACCTCCAACCGCGTGGTCGGCTGGACTGTGCTCCGACGTTGTTTATGACTTCTATGTGTGTGATTTAACACTGGTGAGTAGTGTTTTTTTGCTTATATTTTGCTATTGGTTAGCGGTAGCGTTCGCTCTGCTCCTGTTTACTGGAGGCCTCCAACCGCATGGTCGGTTAGACTGTGCTCCGAAGTTTGCTTATTACGTAGCCAGCTGAGTTCCTGGCCTTTTTTTATTTGGTGAAGGCGAGCGATCTCACCCCGTCAATTGTCCTCTTACGAGCTGAGCTAGCAGTGCTAGCCTCTCTGAGTTTTCACCTTGTTTTAATTGGTGAAGGCGAGTGTTCTCACCCCCTCTCCCAATTGTCCTCTTTTACCAGCTGATCTAGTGGTGCTAGCCTCTCTGAGTTCTAACCTTGTTTTCATTGGTGAAGGCAAGTATTCTCACCCCCTCTCCCATTTGTCCTCTCTTACCAGCTGAGCTAGTGGTGCTAGCCTCTCTGAGTTCTAACCTTGTTTTGATTGGTGAAGGTGAGCGTTCGCGCCCCCTCTCCCAATTGTCCTCTTTTACCAGCTGAGCTAGTGGTGCTAGCTTCTCTGAATATCTTGGACATAGCTGGTTAAGGAGCATGGACGGCTCTCACTGCTGTACAGTCTGTGGAGCCATGCTCCAGACAGATGATGGTCATGACCTGTGTCCTGCCTGCCTTGGACATGACCATCTGGTGGATGCCCTGTCAGAGAACCCCTGCATGAATTGCAGCTTCATGTCGCATGCTGTGAGGGTGGCCCGGCTGGCCCAGTTTTGCCCCAAACTCGGCGATGACCTCCCGCCTTCTGGGCTGGAGGCTCCACCTAGGCGCTCGAAGCGCCGGACTGAGGCCGCAGTCTCTGTGGCCCCTCCTGGGAAGAAGCGAGCCAGGTCTGATAGGGGCCTCTCCACAAGGGTGGAGCAGCTCTCCGCTGAATTAGCGGAGATGAAGTCCCTTTTTCAGCTACACTAACTGGGAACTGAACCAGTGGCAGCAACCGGACTCTCCTCCCCACCCATGCCTGAACTGGCTGTGGAGGAAGATGCGCTATCCTTGGCTGCCTCTGCCTCTCACTTTTTAGGTGAGGAGGACGGGCATTCATCTCAAGTCTCAGAGACAGCTTCACTTTCTTCTTCTCGGAGTGCAGTTAGTGGGTCGGGTGACGGTTCGATGCAGGACGTCATGCCTATGGCCCTGAGACAACTGCAGCCGGACGTCCCGCAACCAGAGGCGTCCACCCCTGGAAGTGCCTTCTTCAGGCACGGACTGACCCCTCCTTCCTTTTCTGTCCCTCCATCAGACAGAGGAGTTCCTGAGGGAGTTGCATGGTTGCTGGCGGGACCCCAAAGCCTTTGCGCGCCTCTCTGCAGATGGCAGAGTGTTGGCAGCCATGCATGAGCCGGCTGCAGCAGGCTTGGATCGCATGCCAGCGATAGAACCTGCTGTTGCCTCTCATCGTGTCACCAGAAGAAGGTCTGCGCAGTCATGTTTGGTGCCCACGAGCTCAGTGTCGTGTCACGGATGAATTCCTCTGCAGAGCCTATGCCGCCGGAGCGTGTGGTGGCCGCTTAGGTACTTTGGCACACCTAATGCTTGCCCTCTCCGCGTCCCTTCAGGGGACTAGTGGTGCAACAGCAGCAATGGGCTTTAATGATGATGCAGCACTTCAGGCCTTTGCACTAATGACGAGGGAGCTTGGGCGCGTGATGTCCTCCTTGGTCCAGGCTCGCCGACAGGTCTGGTTGGCGCAGTCGGCATTGACTGAGCCATGCCGTAGAACTCTCCGTAATGTCCCAGTGATGCCGGGGGAGTTGTTCGGTTCGGCTGCCTTGGAAGCACTGGAACGGACTGTCCAGGCACGACAGAGAAGGCAGCAATTTTCGAGCCTTAGCAGGGCAATGCCCCCTCCACCTCCTCGGCATCCAAGGCGCCTGTCGGCTGACTCCAGCATGCAGCCGCCGCCTGGGGGTCATAACCGGTCGGGTGGTCCTTACCCTCATGCGGTTCAGCAAAGGCCCAGCAGGAGCTTTCATGGGTCGGTCCACTGACCAGCTGGGCAGGCTCAGACCAGGGACTCTGGCTGCCGCCCCCGGGCCGTGGAGGGAGACGGTGATGCCATCAGGCCGACCGTCGGATATTTCTCCCACCAGCAGCTCAGCTATTGGGTTGCTCACGCCGTGGACCCATGGGTGGTTGCCACTCTGACCCATGGTTACCGGCTACAGTTCTGACGGCGGCCTCATATCTCATGCCGGGTCAAGATGACTGTAATCGCCGACCCGGTGAAAGCTCGAGCACTAGACCAGGAACTTTCCGCCCTCCTGGCCAAGGGCGCAATAGAGGCAGTGGACCCTCTGCAACAACCCAGGGGCTATTACTCGACTTACTTCCTCGTGCAAAAGAAGATGGGTGGGTTTCGTCCCATTTTAGACCTGAGGGGACTCAACCAGTACCTAAGGGAGCTACCCTTCCACATGCTCACAACAGCAGAAGTCCTTCAAGCTGTCATGAGGGAAGAATGGTTCACGTCTGTAAACCTGAAGGATGCATATTTTCATGTGCCTATTGCGGCAGAACATCGCCGCTTTCTCAGGTTTGCCTATCGGGGTCACCACTGGCAGTTCCGGGTACTCCCATTCGGGCTCTCTCTCTCCCAAAGGGTGTTCACTCGGTGCGTGAAGGCAGCCCTCTCTCCTCTGCAGGCATGCGGAGTGAAGATTCTGCTGTACTTAGACGATTGGCTTCTTTGCGCCCCGTCTCAAGCCTGTACTTTTCACGACACAAACCGCCTGCTCGCTCATATGTCCCAGTTGGGCCTCAACGTCAACCTGGAGAAGAGCTGCCTGATCCCTTCCCAGACGACCACCTTTCTTGGGGTGGTTCTGGATTCATCTTCCATGAGAGCTCGCCCATCCGGTCAAAGGGTGGCCGGCATACTCCAGCTGGTCAATCGGTTCAGGCTGGGCAGGCAGCTCCCCTATGTTGCCTTCCTGCAACTACTCGGCAAGCTGACATCAGTCACTCGGGTGGTGCCCTTAGGCCTGCTGTCACTTCGCCCCTTGCAGAGGTGGCTCAACAGCTTTCGCCTGGATGCCAGGCTGCACAGGCATTGCAAGCTCGCAGTGACGTGGTCATGTCTTCATGCCTTGACTCCATGGAGGGACGAAGATTATTTGTCCAGGGGTGTCCCCATGGGAGTGGTAGTGTGTTGCAGGGAAGTGGTCACGACAGATGCCAGCTCCATGGGATGGGGGGCTGTGTGGCAATGCAGAGCGGTTCAGGGCCACTGGGGTCAAAGGGACCACTCCAAGCATATAAATGTGCTGGAGCTGCGTGCAGTGCACTTGGCACTCAGGCACTTCCTGCCTCACCTGGAAGGGAGGCATGTTCTTGTTCAGTCAGACAACACCTCTGTTGTCTACCACATCAACCATCAGGGGGGCACCAGGTCAGCACAACTTCTGAGAGTGTCCAGAGAGTTCCTGGAATGGGCCTCTCCTCGCCTGTCCACCCTACGGGAAGCGTACTTGCCAGGGCGACACAATCAGGTCGCAGATTTTCTCTCCCGCCAAGAGTCCCCTCCGGGAGAGTGTTCCCTCCACAGCGACATAGTGCTGATGATCTAGGACCGTTTCGGTCAGGCAGAGATGGACCTGTTTGCAACGGAAGAGTCGACTCAGTGTCCCCTATGGTACTCTCTTATGGGGGCGTCGGGTGCGTTAGGCCAGGACGCATCGGCTCATCCTTGGCCAAGGGTCCTTCTTTATGCCTTTCCACCCCTTTCTCTAATTTGGCCAACCCTTCAGAGAGTCCTCGAGGAGGGCCACAGGATGCTGCTGGTGGCTCCGTATTGGCCAGCGCGACCATGGTTCCCACTGTTACGAAGTCTGTCAGGGCGTCCCATGGTGTCTTCCGACCAGAAGGGACTTGCTGTCTCAGTTGGGGGGACTGATATGGCACCCCAATCCTCAACGTCTTCGGCTGTGGGTGTGGCCACTGCAAGGCTAGGACAGCAGCTGACTGGAGTTTCGAGCCCCGTCAGACGCACCATCCTGGGCGCCAGGGCACCCTCTACTCGTCAGCATTACGAAAACAGGTGGCGCCTGTTTTCCCAATGGTATTCTGATCACAAGGATCCAGTCTCCTGTACAGTACCCACCATTCTGGAGTTTCTCCAGTCTCTACTTGGTAAGGGTCGCTGTCCTTCGACGCTTAAGGTTTATGTAGTGGCAATATCATCTAATCATGCTGGCATTGATGGCTGTATGGTAGGGAGCCATAATCTAGTCTCTCTTTTTCTGCGTGGTGCCCGTAGGTCACACCTGCCGACAGCTTCACGAGCACCAGGTTGGGACCTTCCCTTGGTTCTCGAAGCTCTGTGCCATCCTCCTTTCGAGCCTCTGACGCAGGTGGGCCTCAAGTGGCTTTCATGCAAGACGGCTTTTTTGTTGGCTATTACCTCAGCAAAGAGGGTCAGTGAGCTACATGCTCTCTGTCAGCCCCTCATGTCTCAGGTGGGGCCCTGAGGGCTCGTGTGTTACCTTGTGGCCAAACATTGCATTTGTACCAAAGGTGTTATCTCACTCTCACTCTAACCAACCGTTGAGGCTGGCACATTTTCAGCCTGCGCCTGGTGAGGGGTCTGCATTATTGTGCCTGGTGAGGGCACTGGAGGCATACGTTGCAGCTATTGCTGTGATAAGACATTCAGACCAGCTGTTTGTGTGTTATGGAGGCCCTAGGTTAGGCTGTCCTCTTTCCAAACAGCGCCTCTCCCACTGGATCGTGGACGTCATCTGCCACGCATATGCTGCAGGGCCCGGCCCCCTGCCTGTCGGCTTGAAGGCTCACTCTACCAGGAGCGTCTCCGCTTCCTGGGCTGCCCTGAGAGGGGTTCTGCTAGAAGCAATATGTGCTGCTGCATCATGGGCTTCCCCAAGCACGTTCACCAGATTTTATAGAGTTAACGTGGCCCACCCCTCATCCCCTGGGCCAGGTTCTTCTACAAGGGTCCTCTGCGCCTCCTCAGTGAGGTAGGTGTTTAGGATTCCTTGTGACATCGTTGGTATTAGTCATTCAGTGCTTTCAGCACTGCCCTCTGGCGGTCAGGAGGGATGAAATAGAACGAAAGTTACGTATGTAACTACAGTTCTATGAATCCCGGATGACCGCCAGAGCTTCTCCGTCACTCAGAATCCTTGCGTTCCACAAGAAGATTCTGTAGGAGCAGAGCAGCGGATGACGTTGGGCTATATAGCCTCTGATTGGTCATCCGTGTCACACCTGTGACTCCATTGGTATTATTACTCGAACAGCGCATGCGCGAAGGGAACATTCAGTGCTTTCAGCACCGCCCTCTGGCGGTCATCCGGGATTCATAGAACCGTAGTTACATACGTAACTTTCGTTTTAATTTGTGGCTTTTAAATATTTATTTAAACCTTTCTTTTCACAGGGTGGAATGGTTACACAACACTCAACTTTAATCATTTTTAAAAGTAGGGGTTTTGGGAGCAAAAGTTTGAATTTATTGTTGATTTTCAATTATACACACTTGCGTAAAAATTAAACCTACTGGTTTATACCAAAGTTCATGCTCAATAATCCAGGTGTAAAATCCAATAATGTTCAGTCAGGTCCACTGGACGGTTTCTTTATTTTTTTTTTGCCAAGACATTTCATCTTTCATCCAAAGGTCTTTTTCAATCTGAGGAGCCACCAAACAAATGGATTCCCACAAACAGCATACTCCATAGTGGGGGAAAAACAATTTGCTGGTGTTAAGATGGCCTCCAGGGCCCGCCCTCTCCCCCGTCAACTCCTCTGAGACAGTCATCCCTCAGGTTTAAGTACACACAATCTCACTAATGTTTAGGTAAATTTCATTTAGCAAGTTTTACCTCAGTCTTCAGTTCATGGTATATTTGAGCCTTGGTGACACATTTGAATAACTTGTATGTGCGTACAGTTGTTTGAACTGATGATCTTAGACTCTTAAGATGTCTAGACATGGCTCAAAAACATTTTCCCAACATACACCATACCATACCAATTTATTTATAGAGCACTTAAAACAGCAACAAGGCCAACCAAAATGCTGTACAAAAGAAAACAAACTGAAGACTGAGAGTGAGGGAGCCTGCCGGACACTCAGTGGCAACTCATTCCACAGTCGTGGACCTGCAACAGAGAAAGCCCTGTCACCTCTGAGCTTACGACGGGTTTCTGGGACTGAGAGAAGCATCTGGTCTGCTGACCTCAGAGAGCGCGGTGGGACATATGGCTGCAGAAGATCAGTGTATGACATATGACATACCAACATATGTAAATCTACAGTTTTTCTCAGATCTTCATTGAGTTCCTTGGACTTTCCTGATTAATCCATCAATTTAATTTTTTATGCTGGCAAAGAAACTATCTGCTGCAATCAATCATGCTCACTAATGAAAAATTATTCAGTCTGATCCTTCTCAAAGAAAACATTTGACAATCTTCAGTACTATTCATTAAAAGAAATTGGTCAATATTTGTATAATTTGACCCCATGTGGATTAGAGACAGTTCAAAATAAATTTGAACTTGTACCCTTAATTCTTCCATCCATCCATTGCGTTTACCCACTTCTTCCTTTTCTGGTCGCGGGGGTCACTGGTGTCTATATCCAGCAGTCACTGTACAAGAGTCAGGGAACATCCTGGACAGGTCTCCAGTCCATCACAGACTACACAAACCATTCACTCTCTCACTCACACCTATGACAATTTAGAGTTACCAATCAGCCTAACATGCATGTTTTTGGTCTGTGGGAGGAAACTGGAGTGCCCAGAGAAAACTCACATATACATGGAGAGAACATGCAAACTCCACCCAGAAAGGCCCTCGGCTGGGATTCAATTCGTCGACCTTCCCTCTGAGGGGTGGCAGCTCTACCAACTGTGTCACCGTGCTGACCCCGCTTAATTCTTGCTTTTTAAAAATATTGAAGGCTGATTTACAATTATTCCACCCTGTTAAAATAATTATTTAAATAAGTAATTAAAAATCCTAAAATTATCATAACCTTCATGCCCTTCATGAACGTATGTAAACTTCTGACCTCAGCTGCCACTTGTTTCCTCTTTTCGTTCGTCGTGTTTCTGCATCTCAGGTTGTTCAGCCAGCATCCTACTGTGAACGATGAGCTTCCAAACCGCATCCTGTCAGGAACTGTCCAAGTGAAACCCAACATACGCAGATTACAAGGTTCCAGTGTTGAGTTTGATGATGGCAGTATAGTGGATGACGTTGACCTGGTGGTAGGTTGAACAGTTTTTGGACATCTAACCCTCTTTCTGCCTTGTTTGTATGCCCATTTTACGTCCTGGTATAGCAATAGTAGAAGTGTTAGTTTTAACGACTGAGAAGAGGCTCTCTCTTGTCTTGAAGGTGTTTGCCACAGGATATAATTACTCTTATCCATTCCTGGCCTCCAGTGTGATCTCGGTGTCTGAGAACAAAGCATCTCTGTACAAGTATGTGTTCCCTCCTGAGCTGGACCGGCCCACGCTGGCTGTCATTGGTCTGGTGCAGCCATTGGGAGCCATCATGCCCATCTCTGAGATACAGGCCAGATGGGCCACACGGGTCTTTAAAGGTAATTCTTTTTAAAATACTGTATTTTTTTCTCATCTCTTTAGTCGGATTTCCTTTGTATAAATTTTAACAATCATGAATCTTATTTTTCCTAGGATGCATCAAGCTTCCCCCAGTAGCAGCCATGCTTAAAGATATCAAGTACAAGAAGGAAGCCATGGCTAAAAGGTACACAGTGGCTAAAATTTGTAATTACCTGTTGTATTATTTTACATTTATAAAGCACAAGATGATATACAAATTTTCCTGGGTTCTTAGGTATGTCACCAGTCAGAGACATACCATACAAGTTGACTACATTGACTACATGGATGAGATCTCAGAGATGGTGGGAGTTCGTCCCAGATTTTTGCGGACACTGCTGACTGATCCCCCACTGGGACTGAAATTGTTGTTCGGCCCCTGCACCCCATACCAGTTCCGGCTCAGAGGACCAGGAAAGTGGGCCGGAGCACGCCAGGCCATCTTCACCCAGTGGGAGAGGGTAGCTCAACCCATGCAGACCAGGCCTTGCAATGAGCCTGAACCCAAGAGATCCTACATGTGGCCTCTGCTTCTGTCTGCCACTACAGTGGGCGTGTTCACCTATTACTACAGAAACAACTTTTTGGCTTTTTTGCAGGATCCCACCAGCTTCCTGGGCAGGATGAACATTCACCTGTGATACAGATTTCACAGTTGAATTTTTTGACCGTTTCAACTAACACATGAAGGCTAGTCTTGCACTAAAGTGCAGAAATGTTCAGAATGGGCTATAATTGATGAAACATTACATAATTTTGTCAATCTGATATAATACTATAATGAAAGGTTATTCCATGTAATAATTTAGTTATTTGACCAGTTTACAGATTTGTACTTCTGCATTTGATTCTCTCCATATAACCACGGATTGTACGATTTTAACGGTTTTGAAATGAAATATGATCTCTACATAAACATGCTTTTTTCTGCTTTGTACATTTTCCAAAAACGAAATTATGCAAAAACTTAAAGATCCTATATGCATATACTTATGGCTGCAAGCAGGTCCTGTGAGATAATTACATACTTTTCAGTTGCTGCGTGTCCTTTTATTGAACAGAGATGAAGGCTAGTCCTTGATTTAAATAACAATTTACAGCAGATTATTTAAATCTCTTTTCTTGGTCCAGGTGTAAAATATTCCTAAACTTAATCTAGACCTGAGTAAACAAAACCAAAAACTTTCTAATTCTTGGTATATGTCTCCATTCACATACAGACTGGACACTTGTATGCATGTATCCGTGTGTCATCCATCCATTATCGTTACTTGCTTCTTTCTGTTTGGGTCACGGGGGTCACTGGTGCTCATGTCCAGCCATCAGTGTGAGTGGTGGTGTGATACACTGGACAGGTCTCCAGTTCATCACAGGGACACATGGAGACAAAAGAGACAAATATTCACTCTCACTCACACCTAGGGACAATTTAGAGTTGCCAATCAGTCTAACGCATGTTTTTGGTCTGTGGGAGGAAACCGGAGTTCCCGGGGAAAACCCACGCATGCACAGAGAGAACATGCAAACTCCACCCAGAAAGGCCCCCGGACCGGGATTTGAACTGGCAACCTTCTTGTTGAGAGGCAACGGCTCTACCAGCTGCGCCACCATGCTGTCTTGTGGCATGTAGTGTCTGTAAAATGTATTCACTCCTTTGAGTGTTTTACCCTTTTATTGTTGTCATAATTCTATAATGGTCAACATAAATTGGCCTTCTTACAAAACAAAACCCATATCAAAGTGAAATCAAATTTCGACAAAGTAACACCATTTAAATAAAAATGTGTAATGGGAAAAAGTGATTGCATAAATATTAATCCACTGTAAAATGACTGCCCTAATTCTGAGAAAATATAATTGAAAAGTACAAGTCAGGGGCTAGATACAAAAGGATTTCCCAAGGGCCTAAATATCCTTTCTGGTATATCCATTGTCAAGAAATGGAAGGAGTAGTAAATGTGTAAATCTACCAATGAGCAGTCCATCTTTATAAAGTGAGTGTCCAAGAATGATGATAATGAGATATGCCATCAAGACACCTGGGATTTCTCTGAGGGCATTACAAGCTGCAGTAGTGAGATGAGAGACTGTGCATACAGCAACTGTTGCCTGGGTTCTTCACCAGTCTAAGTTTTGTGGGAGTGGAAAGGAGTCACTGTTGAAGAAAACTGATTAAATCTCAACTCAAGTTTGTCTAGATAGTTGAGGGACTTATTTATCTTTTTCATCTTCATCATAATATTAGAAAATACGTGAGCACAACTCTTTGAACATGAGAAGCAATTGTTTGTATGAATTATTTAAATTTGATTCAACATTTATTTATACAGGTTAGTTTCATTGAGCAACAAGGACTCATTCACAAGAGAGGCCTGTTTTAAACCAAGAGCACAGATGAGGTACACACAACAATAGACAATCATGTAAAAAGCATATAAAATGAAAAGTAAACAGAAGGAATGAAATGGGGGGGGGGGGGGGGGTAGGTCTGTTTGCTCCTTCTGAAGTAAGGGCCATAATGAAGTAAGGGCCATACAATTAATCAAACACTTTACACAACTATAATCTCTTCACCCGTGCTTTGTTTAAATGAACAACAAACAAACAAAAAAACATTTAATTTTGTCACTGACACATCTATCAGTTATAATTGATTCGTTTTAACAAAATAGTTTCTGTTGTTAATCACGAGAATGTGTACAATTTAATTTATACACAACAGTAAGATAAAGTTTCTCCTGCATGCCCAACCAATGACTTCTGGTTCTTACTAAATCCAGATTTCCATTTGCTGCATCACCAACTTTTTATTTTAAGGGATCAAACTTCAACTGTATAGAACATTTTTATGGCACTTTTCCTTCACCTTTGAATTTCTGATTAGATAACCTCCATTTTAATTTTTGCACTATATACATACATACCTTCCTGTGGACCCACCACCTGCAGGAAGGGCCATAAATCAATCAACCTTTATTTATACAGGTAAATCCCATTGAGCCTCGAGGACTCATTTACAAGAGAGACCTGATTTCAACAAAGAAAGATTACAACAATGGACAACAGCAACTACAATAAACAGTTATAAAAAAGCATACTACAGTTTTGTTTTTTTGTTTTTTTAACAAATAGGATGGCTAAAAGGAAAAGGTAACAAAACAAAAAACAGCTAGATTCCAAGACAAATGTAGAAAACTAAAAACAGGAACATGTCTGCATTGGACCCTGCCAGGAGTCCAACAGATTCTTAAAGACACTTAGAGAGGTCAAGGTCGAGAGCTTCAAATCTTTTTGTAAGATATTCCAGGAAACAGGAGCGGAATAGGAGAAGGCCCTTTTGCCTAGTTCAGTCCTCATTGAGGGAACACTGCAGGTAATAATGTCCTGAGAGCGCACTCCGTAGCTGCACTCACGCAGAGACGTGTAGGAGGAGATGTTTGAAGGCAGCAGACCAAGAAGTGATTTAAAGATGAAAATATACCAGTGAGAGAGTCTGCGTGAAGTTATGTCCAGTTAACCAGTGAATACAGGGTGCAGTGGTGGGTACGATAATCACAGCCAGTTGTGAATCTTAGTGCACCATGATAGACAGCATCCAACATCTGCAGGGTTCTTGTAGGAGCGTTCATGTAAATAATGTCACCATAATCAATGGAGGGAAGGAAAGTCACAGATACAAGGCGTTTTCTAGCATTCAGGGTTAGACAGGATTTGTTTCTGAAAAAGAAACCCAAATAAAAGTCAGGTGCATGATGCTATGGGCAGTGGCCGAAGGCAGGGACCTTGGCGCTCTGACTCTACCAAAGCTGACTCTTGAGACATGGAATGTAACCTCTCTGGCAGGGAAGGAGCCTGAGCTTGTGCGCGAGGTTGAGAGGTACTGACTAGATATAGTTGGGCTCACCTCGATGCACAGCATGGACTCTGGAACTGATCTCCTTGAGAGGTGCTGGACCTTATTCCACTCTGGAGTTGCCCATGGTGAGAGGTGTTGAGCTGGTGTGGGTCTACTTGTAGCCCCCCAACTTGGTGCCTGTGTGTTGGAGTTTTCCCCGGTAAATGAGAGGGTGGCTTCCCTTCACCTTCGGGTGGGGGGTACGAGCTCCGACTGTTGTTTGTGCCAATGCGCCGAACTGCAGTTCAGAGTATCCGGCCTTCTTGGAGTCCTTGGCAGAGGTGCTGGAAGGTGTGCCAGCTGGGGACTCCTTTATTCTGATGGGGGACTTCAATGCCCACGTGGGTAATGAGTGTGACCTGGAGGGGCGTGATTGGGAGGAACAGCCTCTCTGATCTGAACTCGAGCGGTGTTCTGTTGTTGGACTTCTGTGCTAGTCATAATTTGTCCATCACGAATACCGTGTTCGAACATAAAGGTGTCCATAAGTGCGCTTGGCACCAGGACGCCCTAGATCGTAGATCGAAGATTGACTTCATAGTCGTGTCATCTGATTTGCGGCCGTTTGTTTTGGACACTCGGGAGAAAAGAGGAGTTGAGCTGTCAACTGATCAACACCTGGTAGTGAGTTGGATCAGATGGCAGAGGAAGATGCCTGACAGACCCGGTAGACCCAAACGTGTAGTGAGGGTTTGCTGGGAACGCCTGGCAGAAGAACCCGTCAGAGAGATCTTCAACTCACACCTCCGGGAGAGCTTTAACCCCATCCCAGCTGAGGTGGGAGACGTTGAGTCAGAGTGGGCCATGTTCCACGCCTCGCTTGTTGAGGTAGCTGCCTTGAGCTGTGGCCGCAAGGTTGTTGGTGCTTCTCGCGGTGGCCATCCACAAACTCGGTGATGGACACCCCGGGTTAGGGAGGCTGTCAAGCTGAAGAAGGAGTCCTATCGGGCCTTGTTAGCCAGTGGGACTCTGGAGGCAGCCGAGGAGTACTGGAGGGCCAAGCGATGTGCGGCCTCGGTTGTTGCTGAGGCAAAAGCTCGGATGTGGGAGGAATTCAGTGAGACCTTGGATAGAGACTCTCGGTCAGCTCCGAGGAGATTCTGGCAAATCATCAGGCAGCTGAGGAGGGGAAAGCAGCACTTTACTAACACTGTATTCAGTGAAGGTGGGGTGCTGTTGACCTCAACCAGTGATTGAGTCGTCGGGAGGTGAAAGGAATACTTCTTGGACCTTCTCAATCCCACTAGCACGTCTTCCATGGAGGAAGCTGAGTCAGGGGACTTTGGGGTTGATCCGTCCATAACCATGTCTGAGGTCGCTGAGGTAGTTAAAAATCTCAGAGGCAGTAGGACTCCAGGAGTGGATGAGATTCACCCTGATTTCCTTAAGGCTTTGAATGTTGTGGGGCTGTCTTGGTTGACACACCTTTGCAATTTCACGTGGACATCGGGGGCAGTGCCACTGGATTGACAGACTGGGGTGGTGGTTCCGGGGACCGGAGGGTGTGCTCCAATTACAGAGGCATCACTCTCCTTAGCCTCCCTGATAAGGTCTATTCAGGGGTACTAGAGAAGCCAGTCCGATCGTTGCTCGAACCTCAGATCCAGGAGGAACAATGTGGGTTCCGTCCTGGCCGTGGACTACTGGATCAGCTCTTTACCCTCCCTAGGGTCCTTGAGGGGTCATGGGAGTTTGCCCATCCAGTCTACATGTGTTTGTGGACTTGGAGAAGGCATTCAACCATGGTCCTCAGGGTACACTGTGGTGGTTGCTCCGTGAGTATGGGATTGGAGACCCGTTGTTACGGGCTGTTCAGTCCCTATACAAGCAGTGCAAGAGTTCGCATTGCCGGCAGTAAGTTGGACCCCTTCAGGGTGGGAGTTGGACTCCGCCAAGGCTGCCCATTGTCACCGATTTTATTCATAACTTTTATGGACAGAATTTCACGGTGCGGCCAGCTGGCGAAGGGTTTCTGGTTTGGTGGCCTCAGGATTCCATCTCTGCTCTTTGCAGATGATGTGGTCCTGTTGGCGTCATCATGCCGTGATCTTCACTGGAACGGTTCGCAGTCAAGTGTGAAGTGGCTGGGATGAGAATCAGTATCTCCAAATCT